CCCACACCCACACCCACACCCACACCCACACCCACACCCCACCCTGAAAGAGCTGAATATACAGTTGAGGGTCAAGCGAGTCACAGCGACGAGCGTTACTTGTGTTCAGGTTGCAAAGTAAATTGAGTATTCATCCCATCAATCAACAAATAAACTTTCAGCTTTTGACGAAAAGACTTTCTTTCAGAAAAGAGTGAGCGAATCTTATGATGAGCGTTACTTGTGTTTACTTTAATTCATATGTTCCGTATAAAATTTTCATCTTAGTTATTCTCATGTTATCAATTACGATCGGATGGACAAGCAGTTACTGAAAAAGAGACGACATGAACTTCTCGATCTCAAATTAAAAAATGATTCCTATTTAACCAATAGTGGAGAAAAAAGTCATCATACTCTAAGTTTCCAATGATTTTCTTTTAGTTGTTCTACTTTTGGAAATATTCAAAACAGAATTCTAACTAGAAATAGAATAGAAACGATAATGGTCATTTGTTAAACTGTATCAAGCAATAATCTATCGAAAACTTTTTTTCGGTTTTCGATGTTAACATTGCAAACCTTTAATGTCTTCTCGGCAGGATGTGACTGTAGCTTTGAATAGTTATAGATTATGTTTTTTGAAGAGCAAACATGCTCTTCCTAAAACTTCTATTGTACACTACTTCGATGAACCGTCAACTCTGTAAATGCTTCATTGTAGTGACTTATAGAGAATGTATATATTGCGAAAATTTCTCTTTGACTGATGATCGACGTTTAAGAACAAATTTAATGAATATCCCTTTTTGATGTTTCCAAGCTCTATCAATGGTAAAGACAATGAGATGTATTGAGCAAAGACGATTAATCGTTATATATTTCTGATTACATATTGAAATATGCTCGTATTCGAATATTAATGTCAATGTATTTTATTATTTAATCAGCCTTTTCTATTCAAGTTTATTAATAAAAACAATGGAAGTACAACATTATGAGCGAATCTTTTTTCCAGATGACTTTTTACTACTAATATCTTTAGTACTAGGCGTTGCCTTTGTCGTTTGATTATACCATGTATCCGCTTTTTGTCGTTGTCCTCCAACACTTTGAATTGCTGGTTTGGTCTGTTGTTGCTGTGATCGATTGGCTGCTTTTTGTTTATTTTCTAAACCAGTTAAAACCACATAAGTATGTTGCAATAAAATATCATCATCGACTTCAAATGTTGTAAGATCATTGTAACTAACACGATCACTCCATAAATCTGTTCGTTCAAGGTAAAGTTGTAATGGTACATCAAGACTTATATTTGCATTCAATACACGTACAATCAATCTTTTAAGCATTGAAATCCAAGCATTAATTGATTTGAGTGTTTCAGCTATTTTTGCATTTTCAAATGTTGCACGAGAGAATACATCAAGAACTCGTTTTCGTTCTTCATCAGTAAATGTATCTTCAACAAGTTCTTTCTTCATATACGTACGTAAAACTTTATCAAATGCAATTTCTTCAAACATTTCATAGAAATCAATTATATATTGTAATTGAATTGCAGAAAATTGTGGCCAACGAAGAACATTATCATTTAGACGAGATTTCGAACGAATAAATCGTTCAATAAATACTTGAATTGTCATATCTTCTCTTAATTTTTCCTCAGCAATTGTTCGTATGTAAGTAAAAATATTATCAAGTGAGCCAAGAAAATGAAGAATATCATCAGGACTCATGTTAGTGATCAAATTTTTCAATTTTGTTCGATCATCATTCGTCAATTGTTGTTGTGGTTTGACGCGAGCACGTACTTCATTAATTAATGATGTATTTTCACCATACAATTCAAATTGATATGTTAAAAAATTTACTTTTTCTGTATCAATTAAAACTAGTTTACTAATCATATTTCGAAGTGTAATTTCGATTTCTTCATAATCATAAATAATATCTTTACTTTTTCCATATTGATAATTGAGAACAAGACTATCATTAATCAATTTTTGACTTAAATAATTTCGATTAAGAGAAAAAATATGTTCAGGTCGAATTGATTGTAATGGTACACATTTTCGTTTAGAATTTGTTGTTGTTTCAATAGTATTATGAAAATAATTGACAATTTCATTTTGTAATTCGGCTATTGTTTTTAAACATGCTGGTAAAAGCATACTATCATCTCTTGATGATGTTAATAATAACATTGCAATACTTGTATTCTCAGCAAATTTTTCTTTAGAAACAATATGTTCAAATTTTAATGTTTGACATCCATAACGAATTTCTTTAAAAGTCAATGCATACCAAGCATCAAGAAAATCATCAAAAAATTTTCTAGTTATATCTCGATCATTATCTTGTGTTAAATAATGAATTAATTTTCTTTGAATAGCATCAATTCGTTTTATTCGATGATTAAATTTTTCAATTAAATAATTACTAAAAGCAATAATTGAATATAAATATTGAATATTTGTATAATCATCTAAACGTTTAAGAAGATATGTACTAACTGGATAATTTTTTTCAGCAAAAGGTAAAGTTTGCATTTTTAAAATAAATTCATCCAATGGATTTAATGTATGAAATGTAGTAATATTAAAAAAATTTAATAATGGATAATGTTCTTCATTTTCAAAAAGTTCATCAATAAAACTTTCTAATGTTTGTTGTTTTTGAATATATTCAGCATAAGCTTTTTTATATTCAATTATTTCATTATCAATTGAATTTATATGTTTAAAAATAAGTTTTTGTTCGATAAGTTGTTCAATTTGTATAATATTTTCATTTGTATTTAATAGACCTTTTTTATTAAATTCATCATCAATAAGATGATTAAGAAGTTTATAAAGCCATATATAACATTGTTGAGGATCGATTGAAGTTTGACAAAGAAGATCATAATCTTTTTCAAAATGATCATAAAAATAAGTATTTGTTGGTAATTTGAAATGTTGTTTTAATTCATCATCGGAGAAATAATTTCAATCATATAAAAAATGAAGAAGACTATGAATAAGAAAATGAATAAAACGAAATGAAACTGGTCGATTTAAATGATCAGGTTTATCACCGAGAGTACTTTCATTTGTATTTTTAACATAATAATATCCGAAACGAATTTTTTGATTTTCTTGTTTAATATATTTATCAATTTTTTCAAAAGCTTCTAGAATTGGTATTCGAAGTTGAGGAGGATTACGTTCAATAAGAACATTATATGTCTGAGCACCAATCTCTTTCTGACATAAAGAACATATACTTTTACCGACTGGAGCACCACATTCTTCGAAAAAGAACATCCATGGACATTCTTCTGAGCATTGATAAATAAATTTTCCATAGTCAACAAAATATGCACCTTGATCGAGACGCTCTTGAACTCGAGTTCGAACATACAACATTTGACTGATAATCATATTGTTGATTGCTAAACCCGGCAAACAGATAGTAGAGAGGTGTTGAACATAATTGATTGGCATTTGTCGTTGATTATTGAAGAGAATGTTACCGAGAAGTGTAATTGCTGATTGAGCTTTAAAAGAAATAAAAACAGCGACGATATTTAAAGCAAGTAAACGTTTATGAATATCATCTGGTATCATTGTATAATGAAGTTGAAAATAAGATTTGTCCGAAAAATTTGAACATAGATCAATGAGAAATTGGTAGCCCAATGGTGTGAATGATTTGATTAAATCTTGCCTGAAATCATGTTGAATAATGCGAATAAAGTCAACATCTATCTCCGTATTTGATTGAGTAAAACGAGAATAATATTCAATGAACCAACATAGAAAAGCATAGGATAATTTTTGTGTATGATTACATTCTTGAATTACCTTTTGTAATTGATTATTTCTATCTGTGCTATTGAATATTTTTCTAACTCGTTCGAACTCTTCTCGACATTCAAAAAGAGGCAGAGGAAGAATAAGAGTTTGACGAACATTTGTTGCTTGTTGATCACGTAAACGTTGAAAAAAAGGTCTTATCCAAAGAAGATTGCGATTAACATAGATTTCACGTAAATCTTTTAGAGTAAGTTTAGACATTTGTAGAATTTGTTTAATAATAAAAAGTTTAATTGTCGAACAAAATGGTGTATCTCCATTAGTCAGAAATCGATCAAGTTCAGATAAAACATCATCTCGACTGTCATTATTCAAAGCAAATGCATACATTTGAGCATAATATTTTAACCATGCAAGTAATGAAATCATTTGACCAACATCTAGTTTATTACCACTTTGAATTTCACGAAAATTTTCAATAAAATATGGGTACTCATCGGTAAGTTGCTGACCGATTTCGTTTCCTTGGACGCTTAACATCAAATGCATATGAAGTCGATTGACCATCAATCGTTCAATTTTACGTGTAGAAATATTTGGTATTTCGAGAGATTGATTCAAATGTTTGTATTCATCATTTGATGGAAGATTCCCATGATTTTCTTTCAATGTTGACGTTAAATCAAGTTTATTATCAATAATTGTAAAAATTTTTGCTGAATAAAACCAAAGATCATTATTTTCATCATTCATAAGTGTTAAAATTTCACCATATGAATCACCATTATCAGCTAACCAATCTTTTAAAAAATCAAGTTCAAGTTTAACTAATGCTCGATGAATGGTATTTTCATCGGCAGTTGATTTTTCTGCTTTGATACGTTGTTGTAATTGGGTAATAAAACAATGAATTCCCGAACATGAATCGAATTTAGCATCGAAACTACCCATACAAACATCTTTAAGAATATCAAGAGCTTTATGAGAAAGTAAAGTAGTAAGACAACGAATGAGACTAATAAATGAACGCAGTTTCTCTAAATTATTAACATTATATGAATTTAAATCACGAATACCTTTCGCAATCAAACTATATGTTGTCGTTATTTGTTGAATATTTTTTGCGTGTTGAATAACAGATGATGATAGAATAAGTTCAATTAAATTCATTAGGCTTGTTTCAATCATAGGATCACCTTGATATTCAAATATCGATTGTTCTTCAAGGGTTGTAGTTTTTGGTGGTAGTTGATAGAATTGTTCACTATTGACTAAGACAAGTGTATAAAATTCAGAAGATTTTATTATACTAGGTGGTATTTCAATCCATTGTTCTCGAATTATATTTCGAATATTTTCTTCACTAACTAATTGTAAACTAATTTCAAATAAACGAAGAATTTCATTTAATTCAATATGTTCAATAAGAAATAAACGTTTATATTGTTTAATTGTTCGTGTTGGATTACTTGTTAATAAATCAAAAACAAAATTAGTCGAAAGTTGTATTTTAGCATCAGCTAAATGCATTGCTATTTGATCATGAAAATACAATTGAAACCATTTTTGATCATTGAAAATAAGTTGTAAAAATTTATCATTATAAATATTTGAAGTATGCATTTGCTCAAGACGTGAATCATATTCATCCGATGAAGATTCATTATTATTTTCTTGTAATTCTTGAAATTTTTTTCGTATAGTTCGAATATTTTCAAATTCAATTGCTGCACAAGGTAATTGAAGACCAAAAGCATATGAAATATCGATAACATCAAGATTTATTATTGTTAAATCAATAGTTTCTAATGATGCTTTTAATGAATCTATCCATAGTTTGGACAAATCATTTTGCATGTTATCATCTTGATTATTTACAATGAAAATATAAGCATCGAAAAATTGATATTTTTCAAGATGAGTCAAAAGAAGTGAAAGATAGGCTTCGTAAAACATTGATATTGTTACTTGAAAAGCATGATAAAATGAACGTGAACCTGCAATTGTAACACCATTTGTTAAAATATCAAGTCTCCAATCAACAAAACGTGTTTTATCAGGTGGTGGAAATTGTTTAATTAATATCATTAAATATTCAATTATAATTGAACGAAGATGAAGATTTTTCAATGTTGAATTATTTCGATGTTCAATAATATGTTGAAGAAGCACATGACGTCTTTCACTAATATGTTCTTTGTCTTTTGTTTGAAAATTGATATAACGAAATTTTGATAAGCATCGATCAACTAACTCATCAAACATACTATCAAATAAATGAAAATTTGATTGACATCGATGAATATCTCCATCGAATATACATTCAGATAGACAAAATTCTGGTTGAAGAACAAGATTTTGATATGAAGGATTATTTAGTATTTGTTTTGGAATAAGTTCTCGATCATTGAGATCATCAATCATATCTATCAGCCAGCCACTAAATAAAACATCATTGTTTATTTGATTAAGAAGATTACGTTGTAAATGAAATATAATCCAAACACTTCGATTACTGGATGATATATATTCATTTTGTATAACATGTTTTAGTGAAAGAATATGTTGATGTTCACCATGATAGTCCACACGAATTAAGAGAAGACGAATATTTGTTAATGCTTGATAATGACATTTTACTTTTCTAACCAATTCAAGTTCGGTTCTAAAAGCACTCAATTTAACTTCTTCGACATTACTTGGTAGATGATCTATTGTATGATAGATTTGAGTATATGTGTAAATAACTTGAAGAGAAGTAGTCGAGTTTTCAAGACATTGTTTAATGAGTTTGCTAAATGTAAATGATTGACGTAAGTCATAATATTTTTCAATTAAATTTTGACATTCAGAATTTGATTGTATTGAAAGAGTTAAAGGTAAATCGAATGAACCAGTATGAAGTAATTTTTCTTGACAATAATTAATAATATCTGGAATATTTTCAGATTTTTCTTCATCATCTATTGATATATTAAATTGTTCAAAAGCATCAATAACAAGATTACAAAGTTGATCTTGACTATAATCAACAAATAAATGTTGTAAAAGAGGAAAATGATTACCAAGATTTTTCGGTAAGAAATTATCAATCCATGTATATAATTGTCGAGATAATGACCAATGTCGTGGATGTACTAATGCTTGAATATCAATAATATGTTTTTCAAAACGATTAAGAAATGGTGGATCACATTGATCTAAATCACGTTTATGAATAAAAACTATACAATAAAAATCATCATGAACAAGACAACGTGGATGATATAATGCACCTAATGCAATACGACAATATTTTTTTCTTGCTGATATAGCAAAATTTTGATTAAATAAATCATAAAGATTATCATAAAGATGACCCATTTGACGCATAATTAATGTAATATTTGTTTCAGCATAAAGAATAATATCCATTAAAACTCGATAATTATAATCTTCAGCATAAGTATTTCCTGAAAGTAGATCACCAGGAAATGAACTACCAACAATAGTACGAACAAATATTTTTTGTTTTTGTTGATGAACATTAATATAACGTTCAACATAATCAATAACACCATCACTATCAGCAATAAGCATTAGATATCGACTTGAACGAGTACGAAGAGTTTGATCAAGAAGATAATTAAAAGAAGGAGATGTATATTCAACAATAAGATTTTGTTTATTAATATAATCACAAAATTGTTCCCATAAAAATGTTGAACCATCAAAAATACCGTCAAAATTAATTTTAAGTTGTTTACGAATAATTTCATATATTTTACTTTTATCATTTAAATTCATTGTATCACGAGCAATACCTTTTATAAGAGAATAATAATCTCGAAGGCCAAAATAATTTTCATAGTCTGGTTGTTTTTCTTTTAAATATTCATATAAATTATAATAAGTTTGAGAAAGACTATCAATAATAAACTTTTCAAGTTGAACTATTGGTCTTTCAATTTGTTGTTGCATACTTTGAACAATAGTTAAACCTGTCAATTGTAAATCTTTAACATCTGGATCTGGTGTTGATAAATATAATGCACGATTCATTTTTGATGCATCAAGTCGCCAATTAGATACACCAACAAAACCATATTTACTATTATCAACTTCAAGTTCAGCATGTAAAACTTTGAGTGGATTATGTGGTGAAAGTTCAGCAAGACCAATTTCATCAAAAACAATAACAGGTAATATTTCAGAATCATTTCGAATTTCACCATATTTAGCAGCACGTTCAAAAACTTTTATAATACTTTCCGATGTACAATTTTGTGAACCTTGAAATGAAACAGCTACAAGTTCTGGTAGTGTTTGAAAGTATGGATCTTTTGATTTTTTTCCTTTAAGATTGCTAATAACAATTTGAACAGCCGATGATTTACTACTTCCAGGTTTACCACATAAAAACAATGGTATACGATTGACAATACAAGCTAGAAGAACGAAAATATTATCACGAAGTGCTCGATTTCGAGCAGTATTCAATGGTACTACCATTTTTTGATCGATCAATTTAATTTGTTCATCTTCAAGAATATGTTTAGTCAAATAATCAGGTTTCTTAGCCACATTTGGATATACTTCTGCAATAATCGATTGCATTTTCTCTACATAGATCTTTTGTAATTCAGCAGAACGTAAACGAAAATAATAGCAAAGCATAAGTGCAATAAAACTGGCTCGACGAAGAAACATACTAGATGAATCTTTAAATTTTTTTGCTACATCTCGTTGAATCAATGAATCAAGAAACCAATTATAAAGACGACAAAAACGAGCTATATCTCGTAGACTTACACTACTTGCATCTTCAATTTGACGAAAATGATTTTGAGATTGTACAAGAAGACGAACAATAAGATTAAATAGACTTCCATCATTCGAAAGTTCTTTACATATATTTAACATTGTTTTTATATAAGCTAATTCAGTTGATTCATTTAGATAACCATAATCCCAAATATATTCAAGCATAGTTTCTGGAATTGGTACAACTGTATATAAAAGACGTTGATCTGTTCCTGCACAAAGAAGTTTTTGCATTTCATAACGATTTTTTCGTAATCCAACATGTACATTATCATTTTGAAGAATTTTTGTTGTTTTTTGTCGTCGAGGATTACAAGCACCTAAGAAAACCATTTTATCTGGTAATGGTTCACCAAGTAATGTTCGTTCGCATATAATTTCTTTAAGAAGACCAATATTTGGTGTCGTATTAAATTCATCGAAAAATATCCATAAACGTTTTTCATGATTAGTATATGTTTGAACTTTTTGAATATAAATTTTCATGGTATTGATAATAATATCAGCTGTAACACCAGCATGAATACGAAAAATTTCGAGTTCTTCATCCAGAATTTTTTGACATAAAAATTGAATCAATGATGTTTTTCCACATCCTGTTTCACCCATGATTAAAACAGGAATACCACTTTGTACTCGCATATAAATAAGAAGCATTTTAATAAAATTATCTTGTGTGAGAACATAATCAGCTTGAAGTATTTTCGCGATATCAAGTTGGAATTGTTCGATATCTTTATTGTCGAATGATTTCGGTCGAATAAGAACGTCTTTGCTTGCACATTTGTCACATTTTTCTTGTTGAATATGATATTGTCCAAAACATTTTGGGCAAATTGATTTGTTAAAATATTTATATGAGAGTGAAGCTAATTTGAGAAAAAGTTGACTGTGACTAAGATAATTATAATCTGGAAACATGATACTTAGCATAACTGAACTTTGTCCACATGCATCATAGTACAACTTGAAATATTTGACAAGTGCTTGAGGCACATCCGTCGGTTTCTTGTAGACGAAAAGTGGATCATTAGTTGCCGTGAAAACTAATGTAAACGGTTGAATTGTATCCCATCGAACAATGGCATCACTGAATGTTATCGGTTCACCACTGGTAGCTGATCGCTGTTGTTTACGAACAGCTTCAACTGAAAGTGAAGTAAATTGATTTGATGATTGAAGAAGTGCTTGAACAAGATCCATACGAAGTCGTGGCTCTGGAACTGATCCAGCACTGAAATAAATACAGGATGAAAAGCCTGTAAATAATCGATGAAATACGGCAACAAAAATCGATAGTTGAGTCCATGTTATGTAATTAACATCTTTTTTTGGAAGAAATGGACCTTGAATAAGATCAGAACATGTTTTTACATCCAATTTTTTAAACATTGATGGATTGACATCTTGTTTTGTAATTGTTTTACTAACGATAACTTGTAAATAATTTGACACTGCTTGAATTTTGTCATTTCCTATATTAAGAGTCATCCAGTCGACTTTGTCGACAACTTTCGATGGAGTTATATGTTGGAATAATGATAATTCATTGAGAGTTGCATCAGGTGATGCATCAAGTTCAATATAAACAATTGTCTCGGCTGGTACTGAAACAGCCACTTGTCCAAAACGAAAGTTTCGAAAAAGTAATAGACAATAAAGAATTTCATTCAATTGTTGATTATCAGCAGTCGTACCAATATCAACATGTATAGCTCCTGTTTGAAGTTGAGAATATTTCGAACGAAGTCGTTCAGCTAATGTATCAACATCAAAATCACCATAGATTGGAAATTTTACATATGTCTTATTTAATTTTTGTATTTCCTGACGAATAATAGTCGATTTTCCTAGACTAGTTATTCTCGATGTAACAAGTGTACAATTTTTATTCATATCTTGAATTAATTTTTGAAAATCTGTTTTATTTAATAAATCTTGATCACGTAGAATATCAACAATACGCATCGATCGAAGTCCATTGATAAGTTGTTGATTTCTTATATTAGTTGTCGTAATAATACCAATTCGAAAATTTTGATCAGGTTTTTCTTTCATTAATGAACGTAATAAACAAACAAATTGATCTTGAATTGATTGAGAAAGAAGTTCAGGTCGAATAAGTTGATGAAATGTTTGTGAATAAAAACAACGATAAATAAATCCACGAATTTGTATCCAATTTGTTCGTATTGTACAATAGAAAAGATGACGAATATGTGGTTGAATATTTGTTTTTCGAAATAGAGATAGAATAGCACGAAGAATACCTTCATTTGTTGTTTCAATAAGAAGAATTTTTTCATTTTTAAAATTTTCTATATGACAATCAATACCTTGTCGTAAATTCGTAAGTAAAGTTCCAAGATTTTCTAAACGATCTTCTGGTATCTCTAGTTTTTTATCTGGTTTTTGAATTAATTTTGGATCAATATCAATAAATCTAAGAAGATGATAACCAGGATGAGATAATGATAATGGATTGTAAATATAATCTTCAATAAGCCAAAATTGATCACCTGTAAAATATGTTAAATCAACATGTATTTCATACATAATAAATAATTTTTTTTCCCAATCAACAAGTAAATTAGTTAATATTTTATTATTTTGTATTAATTCATCATAATTTCCATCTGTACATAAGAATTGTTTTTCGGGTATAAGAAATTTTGAAATTGATGGATGACCAGTCGTATATAAGATTGTTAAAGTTTCTAAAGTTGTTTCAACAACACTAACAAATTCAACAAATTTACGTAATTTATCTACATCACGTTCTTTATTATCACTTTTTTGTATATTACTAGAATATTCGAGTAGACGTGCACGATCACGAAGTTCACTTAAATCAACAAATGTAATATTTTGTTCTTTTTCTTCATCATTTATTGTTGTTTGTTGTTGTTGATTCGGAAGTTTAACATCAATATCAAATGTTATTTCATGATGTCCATTGCGAACAAAATTAATTTTCGATTTTTGTAGAATATCAGCTATTTGACGTCGTTTTGATTGTTCTTTATCAGTTAATTCTAAATGAATATGTTTAATACTTGCTAATGATAATGCTGATGATTCAAGACATCTGGAAAGACCATCAAATTGATTATTTTTCCATGTATCATCAAAACATTCGACTATATGTTCAAATGATAGTGAGGTAACATTCAATTGTTTTTGTTTATTTGTCATTGTTGCATAGGCACGATCAAGAAAATTTTTCAAAGTAGCAAAATCAAAAATTGTTTTTGTATTTACCAATGTTTCATCCCAATCATTGACAGCTTCTTGTAAATTATAAACATCATCAGCTGTCAATGTATCAAGAAAATCAAATAAATCCCATGATGAACCATAATAAAAGAATAATGTAAGAATATTGTTTGAACATTTCTTTTCGATTTGTTCTCGATATTTTTCATAAGTTGAAGAACATATTTTACTCAATGTTTGTTCATCGATAGCATATAAACTTCGTAAAAAATTTAAATCAATATTAGAAGAAATTTTCGTACTCAAATTTATTATACCCATACAGATATATCGAATACGATTACGATTTTTCCAAAACGAAATAATAGAATGAAGTAGAGGTAGAGTTTCCTTTTTAAGCAACGGTGTTAGCAATGTAAGATCATTTTCAGCTTGGCCAATGTCAGGAAATAAGTGAAGAATATTTTCAATAGGAATCTGATCTCCTTGTTTACATATACGTGTTAATATTTGTTCAAAATCTTGAAGAATTTTATCGGCTCGTTGAAGTATGTTTAAACATTCAAGTTTCTCAGTTGTACTTAAGATTTCATCTGTAGATGTGATTCAAAAAAAAATATGTGTGGAATTTTTTTTTAAAGATATATCAATCGTACCTGATGACAATGTTTTTTCTTGTAGCCATGTATCATCGTCCATTTCTTCGCTCAATTGTCGTTCGATTGGTTCTCTAAGATCTTGTCTTCCTATTGATCGATTTTTATTATCAGATTTTATTTGTTGATCGAGATAAGCTTGCCAAGCAATTGCTGTTGCATAAGGATTAAGTCGTTCAGCAAGTGGAAAAATATTAGATAGATCTGGTGGTATATCAATTGAATAAATATTTTCATATTCAAAACGTTCATGCCAATTTTTGACAAGATCATCATATTTCTTTTTATCGATTGCCTCTTGACAATAAGTATTGAGACATGTAATTACTTTATCATTTGTTTCTAATTTTGTTTTCAAAGCTTTCTGAGAAATATCGAAAACTGTATCCAATTGATCTTTTTTTTTTGTTTCTTGAGCTACTAAAGACCATATTTTATGAACAATAGCTTTTTGTTCACCAGTAAATTTTTCCCATGTTCGTACATCACTAGCAAGAATGTTTCTTTGTTCCCATTTTATCCATTGTTGATTCAAACGATTAATAATTGTTTTATGAATTGATAATGAACTGAACGATTCACCGAATAGAATAGCATAAATAAATGTATCTCGAGATGGATGATTGAAAGTATCATTTATTAGTTCGAGATCTCCAATTTCAATCATTGATGCAGCAAGAGCAATTAGATTTTCCACAAGTTTATTTTGTCTATTGTGGGCTTTAGAAATAATCATTAATTGAAATAAGGGATTCGTGGGATCGTGTAAATCCCTTAAATGACCCTTGACATTGGCTAGTTTTTCTTTTTCATATTGTTTTTGAAAAGTTTCAAGAAATTTTTCATTATTTACTTTGTGTAGAGTGTCCATTAGCAGATTGTTCACATTCTCTACAATAGAATAGAAAAACTTCTCTTATAATTGATGTACACAATTCGATAACTTGAATGATACTTTTTCAACAAAAATTCTTATTCTTTCGATAACGTCTCACCATTACCGAAAATAATGACGAGAGCATAAATTATTATTCACTCGATCGTATATGATGCAAAGAAAGTAGCATTAGGCTATAATATTGCTTATAAAATATGATAAGACAAACCTTTTATTTTTAAAAACTTTGCTCTTTTAAAATTAATCTCATTTTCAAGGTTTGAATAACTTTAAACTATCTGTAAAAGAAGAAATGATAATACTGTCTTTTTATGGAAAATATTCTATGAAACTATAGTGCTTGAAAAACAAAACATGACATTTAACTATGTATCGATAGCTTTGTTTTTTTTTTACCTTGTCTGAAACATTGTGTGACCATATGTGTTACAAAAAAGTTTGAACGTTGATCTTTATTTGGTGCAACTTTTATCCAAAGGTCGATGAGTGAATCGACTTTTTCCATGATTTCGGAAAAGATTTTTTGATCACTAATAAAACATTCTGTCCATTGACGTGTTAATGCTTGATAATCAATCCAGTTGTCATCTGTTTCACATAGAAAATATTCGAACCAACAGAGAAAATAATCGGTTGCTCGATCATTTCGACGAAAAAGTGTACGAAAAAGATATGTTTGACGATTAATATTGAGTAATAAATATGAATGGTATGAATGAAAGAAAATATCACGAATGAGAGAAAATTCATACACAGAAATATTATAATTTCTTCCATTTAAATATGGCTCAATCTTATTTCGTAATGTATCATTTGTTTGGAAAATAGATTGAATTAATTGAATTGACTTGTCGTCTGTTTGTTGTTTTAAATAAGTTAGAATACATGCAATATCGGATAAATTAACTAAAGAAGAATTAGCAAAAAAATATAATTTTTTTTTCTCTCTCTCTTTCTCTTTCTCGTAATTACTTACTTGGAAGATGATTATTTTCAAGGAGTACATCAAGATGATCTTTTATATTATCTTTAAAATCATTTGCATTATCTTCATGAATTTTGAGAAAATAACTAAGATAATCAATGTAGGTGTCAAGTGAAACAGCTAGTTCGAGATATTTCAATGAGAAATCATCAGATTTAACTAATGTATATAACTGCATTACTTCGTTTTTTGGCAACTTGCATCGTAAATGACAGAATAAATTAAGTAATTTCAATACTGTGTCTTCTCGTTGTTTTCCTTCGGGCATTTTTGAAAGTAAGTCAATAGTATTATTTGTCTCATTTTCGTTTTCTCGATTAAATATTTTAATGCTAATTAGCTTTACTAAACCTTGACAAAAAGATGCCCAAATATCTTCACCAATTGTTGGTAAGATAACATCGAGCTTGTCGGATAAATTTCTGAGAATAATTGATGCAAATAGTGAAGCTACTGGGCCAATAATTATATTTTCTTGATTAATAGGTAAAAGATCAATCATACGTATAATAAGTTCGAGTGCATCTAGATCTTGCTTGAGAACATGCTCAATATTTGATAAATATTTGCGGCATAAAATGAAAAATATCTGTAAATCATCATATGAAATTATGTTTTGACGGTCTTCAAGGGTAGTTGTAAATTGATCGAATAGTGACTCGACATTATCATAAGATCGCGTGCTTAGAAGAAAATAAGTAAAAATACACAGCTGATCCCAAAATGGTATGCTACTACCTAAAATAATTGTTTTTACAGAAATAGATAACAACGCAATATGTTCTTACCAGGAGGATTCTGAAGATAATAACGTTTAAAATGAGTATCAAATAAAAATTGATGTAGCATCGATTGATCAACTACGAGTTTACGAACTGAATCTTCTTCGTAATGGTATGTCCAGGTACGTGTTGGTTCTGATATACGAAGTTGAAACGAATAAATTTTACAATACTTCTTATTGTAGTAAATACGAGTTTCTCCTTTATCATTGAGAAAAATATTTAATGAAAGTTGATAGACAATTGGACTAATATCATCTTTGTTTACATTCAACTAAAATACAAACGATATTTCATTGTTGTTTCATAAGATTTTCTAATTAATATTTAATGTATTGAAGAATTTAACTTGAATCTAATGAGGAAACGTTTTCAACTGACAACTCAATTTTGAATTCGAACTTTGTAAACAAGGGAGAAGTTCCCTTAAACTTTCTGTGATCATTGATGAACATTCTAGTATGATTTGCATCACTTGTCGGTATAAAGCATCGAATCGAATAACTATATATTCGATCTAAGACTTAGCCTACAGACAGATCTATTTGTCAATAAAACGTCCTCAAAAATTTCAGCTCAAAATAGTGTTTTCTTTGCAAGATATGAAGATCCTGAAAACAAATTTGTATTATCTGTCTGAGAATATGAGTGATTTTTAGAACTTTGTTATCTCAGGAATAAAACATGTTTTGGGGCTGAAAATTTCAGAGCACTCTGCTGACAAATAGATATAGTTTTGCGCAAAATCTCAAATCGAAGTACCGTCATACGATTTGTTGCTATATATCACGTTAACGCCTAAAACTCTAATACAATACCTATCATGCTGGGTAGAAGGCCTAGGAAGATTTTTCCTTTTGAGATTTTTCTTATCTCATTAGAGTCTGTGTTATATACAGAGCTGAAGCTCAAAAACGATATGTCAGTTGTAAACATTTCCTCATAAAACATCACGAATCAACTAACCCTACGAACATTCAAAGCGTTGCTGCTGTTAAAGTCGAATTTGATATCTTTACGAAACACAGCTTGAATTTTCCAGCTATGATATGGCTCAGCACGACGTATTAAGTACCATGTGATAGGATACGCAGTCCCTGAATTGCGAGAAATTGCAGGACCTTTAGTAATAGGTCTAGGTGAAGCTGTGACATCTGTTAGTTCATTTTTTGTCTCATCATCTTCCTCATTGTCACTTTGAATGTCATTCGTTATGTCATTCCAATTTTCTTGTTCATTATTTTTCGCATCATTGTTTTGTAGCTGATTGTCTTTCCAGTCGCTGTTTTGAAATTCGTCTTTTATTCCATCTCCGCTTTGTAGTTTATTGTCTTTGACATCGTTATTGGGTTCGATTGATGATGCCGACATGTGCACCAAATAAAAATCTAAAGAAAAGTAATACTCGATCAAGTATGAAAAAATAACTAATGAGACATAAAATGAAGCTGACAACACAACGTTTATTCATGAGTCGAAAACAGATTATTGACGAACAATACTAGGAAGACGAAAGCAAAGAAAGCTATGCGCACACATGTGCACCTACAGATAAAAGGTAAGTGGAGAAAAGAGACAATGAATAAGCATATGCTCTGCTACTTGGCTATTTCCAAGAGAAATGTGAAGAGTCAATATGAGTTAAATTCATCAAGTTCACTAGGAGAATTTCATGTCTAACTTCAAATAATAAATCTTGAATGTCTAACCCATGTAAAAAAAAAATACAAAAAAAAATCAGCTTTAGAGAGGTAAAAATCGATTAAAATCGTATGACTTTAATCGATTTTTGAAATCAGTTTTTTCACATGGGATATTCACAGTTGTTTGAAAGGCTAGAAATTCGTTATTCAGGAAAATGAAGGCGAAGTTTCTAGAAAGTAATGCTGCAAGACAACTTTTATTGAAATTCCATAACTCTTACGGAGGGTTTTACAAAAAAACAAGATAAAATTGCGTTGTGCAAAGCTTTATCTTTCGTTTTGCGCTTTGCTAATTCATGTGAAGTAGAACGCATAGTAGAATTTGGGCTTTTAGTCTGCTCTTGACATTATCTAAGAGAACAATGGTTAGTTTCTTGAATAACAATAATATGCCTTAATCATATGAATGTTTGTTGTGGTTCTGTATGTGTATACACATATACTGGGGAAAAAAAACTTTGATGTCGACAAAAAGTCTTATCATTATTCAAACAAAATATCTTTGGTTTCTTCCGACAGTAGTCAGACAGAAAAAACCTGCTCATACTGATAAAGTATCTCATCTATAGACTCTTCTTTTCAATTAGACATGAGTTAACTACAAAGCATGTTTTGATAACATTATTTTAAAAAATGTCACGCATCATGTTGACTTGTTTGAATGCTTTGTGTAGCAAGCAGATCAAAATCTATAGCCATAATCATCCATTCACTATTTATTTAGAAAATCTTCAAATGCTGATAACAATTGAGGCTTGAGATATCTCGAATAATAATTCCTAATAAAAAACTGTCCTCTGCCAAATACAATTTTGTTAACATGCGATATTCACTGGATTTCACGATTGATAAAAGTCAGACCAAAGCGTGTACACTCTAAGATAAAGTGTGGGCGTGAGTATGGCTATCTGGAGAGTGTGGGTGTGGATGTGAACATCGGTCTGGGTATAAGAATTCTTTTATTCCGCATTCACACCCCACATCCACACCGGGAAAGGGACATTTCGCACTAACTTTTCATTACGATCTCCAGTGATATATGTTCGTTACGATTACCTGACATAAGAAAAAAGACAGGGTGTTCGGAATTAGATGTACGGGAGTTCGGAATGACAAAAAACAATCAAAAATTAATAGAACAGGATGTTCGTAATGAAAGTTCTCTAGAAGATCTTAACGAACAGCGATGGTCGAATTTGACTGGAGTTCAGACTACAAATGACCGGGAGATCGTAATAAAAGTTAAGGCAAATAAAATAGTGAATGTTTAGAGATCATAATAAAAACTGCAAGGAAATCTTAATGAAAAAAGACAGATTGTTCGAAACTGTGTTCATGTTTGCTCTTCTGTCTCTATATTCATGATAAGGATGATGACATCTGTATCTACGTATATTTCGTTTCTCTTATTCTCAATGAAAAACTACTGACAATCGAAAACGTATCTAGGTAAGGTGTGTTATGACGATTGATCTCCTCCTCTAGAGAAAATTCAATTATCTCAAGAGAACACGGATTGAACAGTTTTCAAAAGCCAAAAATTACCTTTTAGTCAAGATGGTGCTTCTCCAAAAACAATCAATTCTCTAAAAATGATTGAAGACGTACCTTTGAGCATCTTCATTTTGTTGTCTTATCTCCTTTCTTCTTGTTTATGACATAAAATCATTGGAAAACCTGTTTGGACCAGTATCAGCTATTTTCATATTCCCAATTTGCGCATCTATAAGGAAGGATAAAATGTTTTGCTTTTCATCAAAAAACATCATGAATATTTCTGCGTCGGATAAGAGGATGGTTTAAGCATCTCTGTATGAAAGCTGATAGCACGGTTTAGAAAATCGGTCTGGAAAGTTATAGAAAACAGTATCCTGTATATACATTATACTCTGCACTTTGTGCAGAATAATAGTCGTTGGACTTTTCACGCATTATCGCGTGTTCTTTGGACGTCAAATAAATGCACGCTGATGTACAAAAAGAAGAAGAGAAAAATCTTATTCTACATGACTGGCAGAACAGATTAATTTTACGATTCAACTTCTCAGTATCTGAGAGAATGGATAGATGACTGATTCTTGTAGAAAATAGAAACAAATTGAGCAACCTGCCGGTAATACGAAAAAATCCATTTATTACTTTTATTACACAGGTTGAGAAATATACGAAAAAACTTATGGTTGTCTGAATACTGTTTTGAGTTGCTGTAATTCATACAGATAACCTAGGCCTAACAATACAATGAGGTGTGGATGTGGATCGGAGATGTTGGTGGCTGATTTTTTTCTTCGATCCGCGGGCTAACCCGTGGGTTAATACAAACATTACTAGTATAATATTTACTTACAAATTCATTAGAGTTTTTAGTGGCTTATTCGTTTTTTTATTTGTGAGACTAAGATTTTTATAATTAGAATATTATTTATGATTTTTGAGCATAGACATAAATTTTACAAAATTTCAATAAAAGTACAAGATAAGCAATAGTGAAGTAAAAGTAACAGTATATGGTCATGCATACAATGTTAATATAGCAGATACAATTTAAGGGTGGTGTAGATGTGACTCTTCTTTTTATCCGCATCCTTTAATCAAACTGAGAGAAAAAACGCACTAATAATGGGGTATGCGAGAGTTCTGTATTCATTTTTTTTTTATATAGTGCTGTAATGGAATGCTGTAGAGACTTCATTGTTCTTTTACTAGAAAGAGCAGTGTCTAGTGGAAAAATACATGAAACAATTTGATTGGAAATTTTTTTTCAAAGACCAAAAAGCATTTTAGAACAAAAGACATCAGAAAACTCTTCGGCAACTTTGGTCATAATTTTTTTATCACAAGATATTTCTTTGAGCTTTTTGATTATCCACTTTCGGTCTTTTCAAACATCGTATGTATACATTTGTGCCTTACAATAAAGACTTTGATTTGGTATTAAAATAATTAGTCTTGCATACAAGAGAATAGATAGCAGATAATGCAACTAAAAAACTTAATTTAGTCTGTTTGGAATTTAT